TTTTTTTGCACCCTCAGATTCCAGATTTTCAAATAGTTGTCTCGGCCAAATATTGTCATATCCTAACAAAACATACATCAATGGAAAGCTTATTTATTCAGCTTTCGGATGGTGTATAAATCTCAATTTCGAAAAATTGACCCGTATGACTGGTTTTGTGGTCCAGGGTCACAAATATAATATTATTATTATTTTTTTTTTAAATAAGAAACAACATGTGTGTACTGTCAATCATGAGCATCAGGTAAGAGTTAATATGATCTGTTTTATTTAATAAAATAGTTAAATAAAAGAAATTAGAATAATTAAAAGAAAGAAAATAAATAAAAAAGTTTAAAAAAAATTATAAAACACTTTAATAAAATAAATTAATAATTTTAATTAATATGAATAATTTTACATGATTAATATGATTTAATATTATTTGATTAAAATTTATTATTTAATACAATTTATTAAATAATATTATTAAATAAATAAATGTTTTTATTTAATAAGTAAAATTATAAATTAAATTATTTTAAAACAAATTGTTGTGCTCATGGATTTTTTGAGGCCCATACTGAGCTCATTCATACCTGACAAGATGAGACATGAGCAACTTTACGTTAATTTGATTACGATTGACTTTTAGTTCTAACTTCAAGAAACATCTAAGGCAATCTAAGGTCAAGCAAATTCATTAATGTTATACCTCTTCACTTAGAATTAGCTGACATGGCCATCTGTATCCACTCTCCTGATTGAAAGGTTTGTCACAGACAAGGTAAATATTTAGCATTCCTCAGATGACTTCAGCACAGAGCCTGAGGCTCTCTCTATGTGTGTGTGTGTGTGTGTGTGTGTGTGTTCACATGTGTGTAAAGCCCAGGGGATTTACAGGATGTGAGGAATCATGTTGTTCCTCCATCCTAAAGACCACAGTATAGTCACCCTGTCATTACAAAGCAGCAACTCACAGCACAAGCCCGAGTGACAGCACAGAAGAGACATGTCAAAATCTGAATCTGAGTTGCACAGGATTCGGCAGCCCACTGTTTGGGGTTTTTTATTCAGAAGGGTCAATTTTACGATAAATATATAAAAAATTAGAGTGTGGAAAGTACTGGTTTGAAGTGTGTGAGTGGGAGCAGTTTGTTTTGGAATGACTCTTGGCTAAATTAAAGTGATAGACGAAGACAAAGACAGTCCTGCTGAAAAAAACTCCTGCTTAATCCAGGTTTACTGGTGTTAAACTATTTTAGATCTATTTTAGGTCTACAGCCGGTCTCTCAGTGCCCAAACCCCCTCTAAAACCAGCCTGGGAAACCAGTTATGACCAGTGAACCAGCTTAGGCTGGTTTAAGATTTCAGCAAAGAGAACCCTACCTAGACTATCTTTAAACCGCCATGGATTTCCAAACTGGTTTATGATGATGTTCCTCATAGAAAAAAAAAAAAAAAAAGAAATTCTACATGATCTTTCAATTAAGCTTGTTGACTGACGTAA